TGTTTGTCTTGCGCGCGCTTAGTATGTCGAAAGAGTCGGTGGCAGGCTTGGATGAGTCGCACCACACGCGAGGTTGATGCTGTCATGACAGTGTGGGGGAGGGTGAGCGGAGAGGGAGGTCACATACTCTCTCTCTCTCTCTCTCTCTCTCTCGTCTCTCCTCCTCTCTCTCTCACCTCTTTCTCATCTCGCCTCTCTGTCTGTCTCTCTCTCTCCTATATTCTCTTCTTCTTTCTTCTCTCTCTCTCTCTCTTCTCTGCTATCTCTCGTCTCTCTCTCTCCTCTCTCTTTCTCTCTCTCTCTCGGCTCTCTCTCTCTCTCTCTTCTCTCTCTCTCTCTCTCGCTATTGCTCCATCTCTCTCGCTATCTCTCGTCTCTCTCTCTCTCTCTCTCTCTCTCTCTCTCTCTCTCTCTCTTCTCTCTCTCTCTCGACTTCTCTGTTCTGTCTGTTCTGTTCTGTCTGTCTGTCTGTCTGCTCTGTCTCTCTCGTCTCTCTCATCTCTCTCTCTCTAGTCTGTCTGGTCTGTCTGTCTCTCTCTCTCCTCTCTCTCTCTCTCTCTCTCTCTCTCTCTCTCTCTCTCTGCTCTCTGCTCGTCTCTGTTCTGTTCTCTGCTCTCTGCTCTGTCTCTGTCTCTGTCTTCTGTCTCTGTCTCTGTCTCTGTCTCTGTTATCTCTCTCCTCTCGTCTCTCTCTCTCTCTCTCTCCTCTCTCTCTCTCATCTCTGTCTCTTTTCTCTCCGCTCTCTCTTATCTCTCTCTCTGTGTCTATCACTCTCTCTGTTCTTTCTCTCCCGCTTTCTCTCTCTCTCTCTCTGTCTATCTCTCTCTCTCTCTTTCTCTGCGCTCCTCTCTCTCTCTCTCTCTCTGTGCCCTCGATGTCTGTATCTCGTCTCTTCTCTCTCTCTCTCTCACTCCAGTCTCCGTTTACTCCCCCCCTCTTCTCACGTCTACCGTACTAGTTCCCAGTGGCTTCTTCACACTAGTGTTGGTTCTCTTCCTCCTACACAGAGAGGAGCCTAGTCGCTGTCGAAGAGGAACTACCTGCCCAATACAGAGACATGCCGATGTGAACACGCGGACCGAGCACGAGATCAGCGGACTCATGACGGGGGTAGTGCGCCACTGTGTGGCTCGCGCCGCGCGTCGCTAGGAGTGTGTCGGTCGGATGAGTCTGGGTTCTGTAGCGATGCGAATTCAAGTTAAGGGACCTCGTGAACACGCCTAAGTCACGTATGTCTCTGGCTTTCGTTAACCGATATAGCTTAAATTCTTATGCAATATTTATACCTATATATATATATATATATATATATATATATATATTTGTTGTTTATATAGTAGTTGTTTTTGTATAGTTACCCCCATATTCATATATAGATTGTATGAATATAGTCATTATATATTTATATAGTTATTATAGTCAGTATAGTTATTATAGTCAGTATAGTTATTATTTACCCCCATGATATTATATAATATCATAGTTACTTAGTATATAATAATAATATCTATTAGTCATTGATTGGAGACGATCAGCCGAGCACGCTCTTGTGTTTCTTCTCGCAGCGGGCTCAGTCACGTGGCGCCATCTGTGCCGGTGTGCGAACCGCGAAGGCCGAGCGTCGGATGCAGGAGCGGCAGGGAGAGGGCGACACTGTAGCCGACGGAGACAAGAGGCTGTCCGCGTCGGAGCAGAGAGAGCTGGATGCAGAGAAGCGGGCGGCGTGGCGCCAAGCCAGGTAGGGGGCGCTACCGATGCCGACAGATTACGCTGACAAGAAATAAAGTCATTACATAAAAAATATGTATATAATGCACTGTTCTTAATAATAATAATAATAATAGTAATGATAATAATAGTAATAGTAATAGTAATAGTAATAGTAATTGTAGTTATAATAACCATACTCTTGTTTGTTAACTGTCATTGCCTCGTGATTTCCTGCATTTAAAAATCATTTTATGTATGTATAATTTAATTTCCCTTCAGTAAACCACAGTTAATAATATCAATCACAATAATAATAATAATAATAATAATAATAATATATTTTTTAACTAATTTTTATTCATAGCTACTTCGTTTTTTTCCTGCAGGTTGAAATCTCTGGAGAACGATGCTATCCAGGCACAAATGATTATCTCCAAGGTTAAGTCAACAGATGGCGCTGGAGATGCTGATGGTAACTGCAAGCCGAATCCTGGTGGTGAGTAGCTGAAACGCTCGCTCGCGTCGTAAACCTGTTAGTTAACAGTTGGCTTCAATATTTAGAGACTTACTGTGTTAGATAGAGACATGGGGTGTGTGTGTGTGTGCGTGTGCGTGTGCGTGTGCGTGTGCGTGTGCGTGCGCACGTGCGTGTGTGCTTAACCTCTACGTTTGTGGGTACATTAGAGAGGTCGCCACCGTGTTAGAACGACGTACTTGTGTTTTTCAGTGACGGAGCGTAACAATAGGCACGAGGGACAGGGCGACGCCAGGCAGGAAGACGACATTGTAAGTAACACCCCCACGCCCCCAGCCACGCCCCCAGCCCCGCCCCCCCAGCTGTGACCCCACCCCTGCCCATCCCGCATGCTTCCACACAAACACACCACGTGTGAGCATGCGTGTGTACGAGTGTGGGAAGGTGTACTGTCGTGTCTGTGTTGTGTCGTGTCATCTGACTCATTGATCGGGTCTGGGGCCTGTTATCGATCGATCGATTGACTAATTGGTTACATGCGTTTCGTGCGTGTGCATGCCTGCGTGTGTGTGCGTGCGTGTGTGCGTGCGTGCGTACGTGCGTGCGTGCGTACGTGCGTGCGTGCGTGCGTGCGTGTGTGTGCCTCTCTTTATCTCTCCATGTTACGTAGAGATAAGTATTACTGTATTAGTCTTCTACTTATTTCTATACT